CTGAGTAGCTGGGATTATAGGCGCCCGCCACTACACACGGCTAATTTTTGGTATTTTTAGTAGAGACGGGGTTTCACCATGTTGGCCAGGCTGGTCTTGAACTCATGACCTCAGGTGATCTGCCTGCCTCAGCCTCCCAAAGTGCTGGGATTACAGGCGTGAGCCACCATGCCCGGTTCCCCATTTTTTTTTTTTTTTTTTTTTGAGACTGGGTCTCACTCCTCGCTCTCCTACCCAGGCTAGAGTGCAGTGGCTCAATCATAGCTCACTGTAGCCTTGAACTCTTGAGCTCAAGTGATCCTCCCACCTCAGCCTCTTGAATAGGTTATTGACAATTTCATCAGGCCATACAATTAAAAAGCCAATAATTATTAACCCCCAAAGTATAGAAGTGAAAAAAAGGTGGTCTTCTACATTAAATAAAATGGCCTCTTTTAGGCCTACATGACAGTCTCCTCATGAGGGACTTTCGTTTTTCTTGGTCCATGGTGCTTCTCAACTGAACAACTATTTTATTTTATTTTATGTTAGAGACAGTCTCGCTATGTGACCCAGGCTGGAGTGCAGTGGCGCCACCTCGGCTCACTGCAACTTCCGCCTCCCAGGTTCAATTGATTCTCCTGCCTCAGCCTTCCAAGTAGCTGGGATTACAGGCACCCACCACCTCGTCTGGCTAATTTTTGTATTTTTAGTAGAGACAGGGTTTCACCATGTTGGCCAGGCTGGTCTTGAACTCTGGCCTCAAGTGATCCGCCTGCCTTGGCCTCCCAAAGTGCTGGAATTAAGGTGTGAGCCACCTCACCCAGCCTGAATAACTTTATATATGTCAAAGTGCTCCAACAGTACAATTTCCAGCCATCCTTGATGAAGTTATGTGAGGAGGTAGCATAAGTTTGCTGGCTGATAAATCCATGAGAAATTGGCTGTTTGGCCAAATATAAAAAATTGACTCGTGTGTTAGTCTGTTTGGGGTCAAAAAAAAAAAAAAAAAAATACCATAGACTGGGTGACTTATAAACAACAGATTTTTTTTTTTTTTTTTTTCTCGCAACAGTTCTGAAGGCTGGGAAGTTCAAGATCAAGGCACTGGTAGATTCAGTGTCTGGTGAGGGCCTGCTCTCTGGTTCTTAGACGCACATCTGTTTCCTCGAGATGCCCTCATGTGGTGGAAGGGGCAAGGGACCTTGCTGGGGTCTCTTATAAGTGCTCTAATGAGCTAATTACTTTCCAAAGGCCCTGTCTCCTAATACTATCACCTTGCAGGTTAGAATTTCAACATAGAAATTTTGGGAAAGCAGTCCATTGCATTCTGCCCTCATGGTTCTCCAGATAACAGAAACAATAGAATATATATACATATGTAGAAGAAAATTTATGATGAGCGATTGACGCATGAGATTATGGAGGTTGAGAAGTCCCAGTCTACCTTCTGCAAGCTGGAGAACCAGGAAAGCCTGTGGTATAGTTTCAGTCCAAACCTGAAGGCCTAAGAACCAGGGAGGTCAATCTGGGTCTGAGAGCCCCGAGCTATATCTGCTCCGATATCTGCAGGCAGGAGGAGATGAATGACCCGGTTCAACAGGGAACGCATTTGTTCTTCTTCCACCTTTTTGTTCTATTCTTGTCCTTAAGGATTAGATGACCATCATATCAGTGAGGGGAGTCTTCTTTACTCAGTCTACTAACTCAAATGCTAATCTCTTCCAGAAACACCCTCACACACACATACCCAAAAATAATGTTTCACCAGCTTTCTGGGCAGCTCTTAACCTAGTCATGTTGACACATAAAATTCACCATCACAGCTTGTGAGTGTTTGGGGTCCTTAACCCTAAAGTTAAGCCACCTGTCACACCTGCAATCCCGGCACTTTGGGAGGCTGAGGCGGGTGGATCATGAGGTCAGGAGTTCAAGACCAGCCTGGCTAACATGGCGAAACCCCGTTTCTACTAAAAAAACAAAAAATTACCTGGGCATGGTGGCTCATGCCTGTAATCCCAGCTACTCGGGAGGCTGAGGCAGGAGAATCACCTGAACCCGGAAGGTGGAGGTTGCAGTGAGCCGAGATCGCGCCATTACACTCCAGCTTGGGCAACAAGAGTGAAACTCCGTCTCAAAAAAAAAAAAAAAAGTTAAGCCACCTAGACTGCTGACCTGCAACATGAGCAGCCTCCTGGCAGGCAGGGGGAGGGGGGGAATATATTTATATAAATATAAATCTCTTCTTTTGGGAGATTTCTCATAGACAAGACTGAAGAAAGTTCTCATAGACAACAAACAAGACTATGAACAAGTAAACAGAAGACAGGAGATGACGTTAAAGTCAAACCTCACCAGAGGACACCAAAATCTAATCCAAAGATCTCAGAGACAAATAATAAACCTGACACTGAAGGGCTAAATCGGTCATCAGAGTTGGCTTATGTACCATCATTATTTGTGTAGGTTTAACCACGTGGATGCATTTCCTCACACTGATTTCAGCACTGGAAGGGAACACTTACTCATCATCTCTTTTCATAGATAAGGACACTGAGACCAAACGAGATTGAGTGAACTGACCAAGATCACACAGAACTGGCTAGAAACAAACTCCTTAGTGATTATACTTAAATTAGCATACATATGCCATACATGTAAAATAAGATATATAATATGTATGATGGTCATCCATGTTTAAAAAGGAGAGCAGGCCGGGCGCGGTGGCTCACGCCTGTAATCCCAGCACTTTGGGAGGCCGAGACGGGCGGATCACGAGGTCAGGAGATCGAGATCATCCTGGCTAACACGGTGAAACCCCGTCTCTACTAAAAAATACAAAAAAACTAGCCGGGTGAGGTGGCGGGCGCCTGTAGTCCCAGCTACTCGGGAGGCTGAGGCAGGAGAATGGCGTAAACCCGGGAGACGGAGCTTGCAGTGAGCTGAGATCTGGCCACTGCACTCCAGCCCGGGCGACAGAGCGAGACTCTGTCTCAAAAAAAAAAAAAGAGAGCAGCATCACGTGAACTTTCCACTAAAACCCGGGTGGCATCGGGGCAGGAGGACCTTGAATTAGGAAGCTAGAAGAGGGTGATGAGGCTGGCAAGTTAGCCACAGGCCGAGGATAGGCCAGCCAGGGAGTGGAGAGGCTGCAGGGGCCAAGGTTCAGGAAGTTCATAGCAGAAACAAGGCAAGACAACTGTGGCAGTAGATTGGGGATGTGACATCTACCAGGGACAGAAAACATGTGCTCTTTTCACTCATTTTGTTCAGCCAGGCTAGAGCTGTGCCTACCCCACAGCATGCCTTTGGAGCCTGAGGGAGACAGCAGTGTGCATTGGGGTCAGATAGATTACAGAAGCATCTCCCCTCCATGTTTTCCTCTCTCCTAAAGACTTTGCTTGTTAACTTTGGATTTACAGGTAACCAAGCCCATATGATGGCATTAGTTAATGACTGACTGCTGTTTTTTCTAAGCTGCTGTCAGGCAGATTTTACTAATTAATTTCATTTAAAATAGTGGTGTTCAAGCCTGACTGCATATTAAAGTCATCTGGGGAGCTTAGAAAAAACAAACAAACCGATGCCAGAGCCCCACCCCAATTAAATTCTGATTTAATTGGTCTAAGGTCCAAGCATTGATATGTTTGAAAAATTCCCCAGGTGATTCTAACAGGCAGCCAGGGTTGGAACCACTGATTTAAAACATCAGGAAAAGTTTCAATGAACTAATTAATTGTTTTAAAACAGAACAGCATTGTTTTCTTCACATCTGGCAATGTAATTCATAAAACAATAATGAAATAATTTGCAGGATACAACGTCTTCATAGGATTTTCTCATTCTCATTTTTGCTAAGTCAACATATGGCTGAATTCAACAATCAATCTGAAACCGATGGTTCCACTAAAGCTTCTTATAGCTTCATTACCTTCTTTCTCCAAATCATATCACGAAGATTTGATAGAGTAACCACCTCCCTGGACCTTTATGTTGAGGTGTCTGGACAGCACAGAGACATGGTACTTATAAAAGATTCCAGGACGCTTTGTTATCATTGGACTTCCTGTGCTATGGAAATTCAACACTGTGGGCTGCAATAATTAGTCATGTGGAACTCCTTCCTGCTTTTGTACCCTCTCACTTTTTACTTGGGCAGAAGGTTAAAAGTATTGCCTTCTAAGAAGTCCCATTCGGGCACCCCTCTCTCTCGCAAGAGAGAGAGCTGTTCTCCCTTCTCTTTCTTTTGCCTGTAAACCTCTGCTCCTAAACTCAAAAAAAAAAAAAAAAAAAAGTATTGCCTTCTTTTCTCATCTCCTACCTCTTGTCTTTTTCTCTCATTTCCGATTCAGGCATTAGAGAAGATAAGGAGTTAGGAGTAGAAAGACTCACTGATTTATAGAACTGGGAGTGTAAGAAAAGGTCGTTAGTTCAACTACCATCTGAGACCAAGAGACTTCCCCAGGATCACACAGCTAGACAGTCCTGCAACTGGCCCCGGAAGTGGGGGCCTCGTTCCCCAGACCCATTCTGTTCAGGATACCAACTGGTTTTTCAAGACAGACTGAGCTCAAGGATGTTTGGGGGAGACTCCTCCTTCCCCGAGAGGTTCTCCATTCATCTTATCCTCGCCAAACGATATTCCTTCCGCTTGCTTCATTAACTGGCTCCATTTGTGAAGTCTTCTGCAACCCGCCCTGGTTAATTCGGGAAAAACAGCAGCATCTGTACATTCCTCCTTTCCTCCTCGCTCTTTAGCCCTGTGCTGCTAATGCTTGTGTTTTCTATTGTTACATGCTCTCCCTCGTTGATGTGCATTTATTGAATGCCTCCTGTTGTCAAACTTCTAATAGGAAATACGAAAACAGAAGACGCCTTCGCTTGGCTGGGTATGAACCCCTGTAGCCAGGCCCCGGGGTCTTGCCTGGTTTCGGTAGGGGCAGGCAGCGCAGGCCCGCGGGGAACGTACCCCGCGCCGCCCCGGGAGAGCGGGTGTGGGGCTGGATTGCAGGACTGGGCCTGGTGAAGCGTAAGCGCCCGCCGGCACGGAGGGGAGGCCCCAGCGGTGGGCGCCTGTTCCCAAGGCCGCGCGGAGGGAGGGGGCCAGCCCAGCCCGACTCGGCCGAGCTCCCGGGAGGCCACCAGTGGCCACAGCAAGAAGGCGGGAGCGCCAGGGGAGGGGCCTGGGGGAAGAGCGGGAGGGGTGGGCGGAAGGAGGAGAGGGAGGAGGAAAGACCCGCGGGTACGAGCTGGGAGGAGACACCCGGGAGAAGGCGGAGGAAAGGGCAGGAAGCGGGAGGGAACTGAAAAGAGGAGGAGGCTGAGGGGCGGAGCCGGGGGCTCCGGGAGAGAAGCCAGCGGAGGGGGTGGAGCCGGGCCCGGGGCGGAGCCGGGGAAGGGGAGGAGCCGGGGGAGAGGCCTCTACGGCCGCCACCGCTGCCGCCGGGGCGCGTTCTCCTGCTACCGGTCGGGTCCCCTGGGGCGTTCCCTCGGCTGCTGCTCCTCGGCGCGGTTCCTACCCGGCCGCTCCCCGAGGCGCGGGCTCTGGCGGCCGCGACCGACTAGGAAGCCCCGTGCGCCGCCCGCGGGCCGCCGCCTCCCTGGGCGCGCGGGGCTGGCATGGAGCTCTTCCAAGCCAAGGACCACTACATCCTGCAGCAGGGCGAGCGCGCGCTGTGGTGCAGCCGCCGCGACGGCGGCCTCCAGCTCCGACCCGGTGAGGCTGGCGGTGTGGGCGGGGGGCGCCCCGGGCCAGTGCGGGGAGAGGAGGGGGCGCGGCCGGAGCCTCAGCCGGGCGGGAGGAGCAGCCTGCGGGCCTGGCGAGGCGGGGCGGGGCGGGCTGCGAGCACGCGAGCTGTCATTATTCTCTGACTGGAGGGAGCCTGGCCTTTCTCCGAGGGCAGCGCCGAGCCCCTGCCCCAATGCGGAGCAGAGGGGGCTGGCGACCCTCGTCCCTCCCACCGCGTCGCGCGGCCGCCCTTGGGGCTTGGGGCCCAGGCCGAGGGGAGGGGGTCCCCCCGGCAGAAAGTTCCAGCAAGGTGCGCCTGGCCTTAAAGGCCTCTTCCTCCTTGGAGTGGTTCTTACATGGCCTTCGCCAGAAGTTCTGGGTTCGAATTCGGATCTGGAGCGGTTGCGCTAGTTCCGTCGACGGCTCTGCTGGACACTTACTCCCTGTTGCCATCCTGTGTATTCTTGGTTCCTTATTATTAAAGGTGTGACTTCACTATGGTTACCTCATAGGCACTCGGTTTAAAGCCTTTGTCTTTGGCTTTAATACCGCAGCATAATTAAAATGTAATGTATAATTTTGAGATTTTTGTGTGACTTGATGTTGTGCGACACAAAATGTATTGTGGGTCCATGTTTGGTGTCATGTAAGCTGTTCGGAGAGGCTTAAGTCTACAATTAGCTTGCTTTAGGAAAATGTGTGTGCAATCTGGTTTTAACGGAGCAGTCCCTGCCCTCAGAGCGCTGACAGTCCAGTTTCTTGTAAGATGGGGCTGCGTGGCACCTGCCCCTTTTGGCTTGCCAATCCTTCCCCCATATCACTCAGAGATTCTTTCACTCTCTGAGTGAGAGGATAGAGTTCTTTAAGGGAGGAGCCAGAGCTTTTCAGACTTACTTGTAATTCTTATGTGCAGTCTAGACAGAAGGATTACATGATATGAATTGAAAAGCATAAAAGGTTCAGATGAGCTTTTCAGATCACAGCGTGGTACCACTTATAGGATGGCTTTTAAGGACAGGCCCTTTAATATATTATTCCCAATCCCCACAACAACCTTACAGGACACGTGTGGGATCCTCTTTTTCAGGTGAGGAGAAAGGAGTGAGAGGTTATTAGTAACTCGTTCGGGGTCACAGCCTAGAGTCGAGACACTGACACAAGGCAGTTCTGTGACCTCCAGAACACATTTGGGCAGGCCCCACTGCTTTCTTAGGAAAGCCTACTAGTTGCTTTGCCAGAGCAGTGAAGGATAACTTTTTTTTTTCCCGGGCTCTGTCTGTATTTTCTTGCTATTATGTTTTATTTCCTCTTTTTCAGAATGGAGAATAAACTCCTTGGCCCAGATAAAGTTCGTGATGATCTTGGGATAGAGTTGTTGAAGATGGGCTAATTTTGGCCAGTCTTCTGTCATTCTCTTCTCTGATTTGACCATTTGCCTGGCTTTCTCTCCTTCTCTCCTTTCACTCCCCCAAATTTGGGTAAGGCTTCAGTACAGCCTGAAGTAAAGCAGATTTCAAAATTCTTAGGTTGTCAAAAGAATCAACTTCTTGGATTCTAAAAGCTTAGACTGTTAGAGCTGGATGGGACTTAAGATCGTCTCCAACTCATCTGACAACAAACTTTTCTACACCCTAGTTTCTTCAACTATAAAGGCTAACCTGCGCCTAGATTCTTTAATGAAGCCATGCAGTTTGGATTACTGTTTATCCAAAGTCCATGTCAGAAGGCAAATTTAAAACTTTTTTTTGGGAGTAAAGTAGCTATAGCCTTTGCACTTGAGATTATCATACTTTTTAGAATATCGCGGGCCACAGACCAAGGAGATCAAATGTCTAGAGGAAGGAAGAGGTCATATTTCAGAAGTGACAGCCAGTTTTGATCTTAAAGTGTTCAGGATAGCCAGGGAATAAAGAATCCCATGCACTTACTTGATTTTCTCATAGTTTATCCTGTCCGGGACTGAAGATCCTTTCTAACTAATGGCTATTTAAGAATGGCATTTTAATTGAATAAGTGCTTTTCAGATCTTTTTCTATATATGGAATCATTTAACATTCTCTTTATTTTATTGGACTTTTCCCCTCTGCTTTTTCCCCTCTGTTTTGCTGCTGTTTGTAGTGACAGCATTTAAAATCTTTCATTGTTTCCTACTGGTTGTTTAGCTGAATAGATTACTGACTAAGTCCTTTTCTTTTTTAAAAGGGCAGTATTGTAAGCTCGAAAAAGCTTGTGGGCATCGTGGTTTTTACATTTGTGGCTATTGAACAACCCGAAACAAGAGTTTTCCTTTTTCTAAAGACATCAGAAGGATAAGTAATGATGATATTTAAGATTAAAATACTCATTTAGCCTGGAATGTTTGTTACTGTCATCCCCTTTTCCTACCTAGTTCATTCTATAAGACCCAGCTCAGATGCTACCCCTCATCCTTGGGGCAGAATTATTGGCCACCTTTATTATAGTGTTTCCAGGCATTTTCTACACTTAGTGCACACTTCAGTTCTAACCCTATGCATCATCATATAATAAAAGTTTGCCTACTTCTTCCCCAGTGGGAAGTCCAGTGTGTTCCCCAAGGCAAGGGCTGTATTTACTCCTCATCTTGGTGTCTCTAGGCTTTAGAGTACTTAGGACACAGAAGGCGTTTTTGCTTGAGTTGAGCTGAATTAAAGTTAAGTCTAAGTTCTCTCTCAGTAATATCATTGCCTTAGAAATAAGATGTTGTATTATGTTTGTTGCTCTTTTTAGGCCTGTTTTTTGGGGGGACGGGGAAGGGGCGGGGCGGGGCGGGGCGGGCAGGCGGTGGACAGAGTCTTGCTCTGTTTCCTAGGCTGAAGTGCGGTGGTGTGATCTCGGCTTACTGCAACCTCCGCCTCCCGGATTCAAGTGATTCTCCTGCCTCAGACTCCCGAGTAGCCGGGACTACAGGTGTGTGCCACCTCACCCAGCTAATTTTTGTATTTTTTGATAGAGTTGGGGTTTCACCATGTTGGCCAGGCTGGTCTCAAACCCCTGACCTCAGGTGATCGCCCACCTCGGCCTCCCAAAGTACTGGGATTACAGGCTTGACCCACTGCACCCGGCCTCTTTTTAGGGCTGTTTTGAATATATTTTAATTGGAGTGGAAAATCTCTATCCATTTAGATAAAGAAATATGAGGAAAGGTACACCTGCACTTGTATTGTATTTCTATCTGATGTAGCATTATCTCATTATCTTTTTTTTTTTTTTTTTTCTTCTGAGACAGGGTCTTGCTCTGTCACCCAGGCTGGAGTGCAGTGGCGTGATCATGGCTTGCTGTAGCCCCTATCTCCTGGGGTCAAGCTATTCCTCCCACCTCAGCCCCCCAAGTAGCTGGGACTACAGGTGTGTGCTACCACACCTGTAATTTTTTTTTTTTTTTTTTTTTTGGTAGAGATGGAGTCTCACTGTATCACTCAGGCTGATCATGGCCTCCTGGGCTCAAGTGATCCTCCCACCTTGGCCTCCCAAAGTGCTGGAATTACGGGCATGAGCCACCACACTGGGCTTTTAAAATATCTTTTTGGTAATATTCCTTACTTTCCTCTTTAACATTATTTAAACTTTTTCAGTTTTTTTTTCTCCCAGCTAAAAAACCGAGTATTGTTTTTTTCTGGTGTTTCTAATTTTTTTAAGGGTATTGAGTAATCTGTATTCATACATAGCACTGTTTTTTGATAGATGCTTTTGTCTATTGTAAGATAATGACTACCAGAGAAAAATATTTTGGTTCTTTCCTTTCCTTTTCTTTTTTTTTTTTTTTTTGAGATGGAGTTTTGCTCTTGTTGCCCAAGCTGGAGTGCAATGGCGTGATCTTGGCTCACTGTAACCTCCGCCTCCCAGGTTCAAGCCATTATCCTGTCTCAGCCTCCTGAGTAGCTGGGACTGTAGGCACCTGTCACCACACCTGGCAAGTTTTTGTATTTTTGCTAGAGACAGGGTTTTGCCATGTTGGCCAGGCTGGTCTCGGACTCCTGACCTCAGGTGATCCACCTGCCCTGGCCTCCCAAGGTGCTGGGATTACAGGCGTGAGCCACCAGGCCCGCCCTGGTTATTTTATTTTCTACAGGGAAGATGATAAAGCACTGTGTAAACATTCAGTAATCTTTTGAGAGTAGAGTCTAATATCTCAGGATAAGAATTGTAATTTAAAGACTCAAAAAGAAATATAATACAATCCACTTTGAGGGAATGGTAGTATGGTCTTATCTCTTTGGTCTTAAGATTGCTTCCCCAGTCCTTGTGGCTTTGTCTGATATGACAGTATTATATAATTTATAGCTGTGTGTAAATTATATAATAATTCACATTCTGTTCTGAGACTGAGTGACCAAGAAGAGATCTCAAAGCATCTGTCATACATATAACATTCATAAACTTAGAAACTATATATGGAAAGGTGATACTGTAATTGATGAATCCCAGTGAACTTTTTCTTTTTGAGATGGAGTCTCGTTCTGTTGCCAGGCTAGAGTGCAGTGGCGTGATCTTGGCTCACTGCAACCTCTGCCTCCCGGGTTCAAGCAATTCTCCTGCCTCAGCTGGGACTACAGGCATGCGCCACCATGCCCGGCTAATTTTTTGTATTTTTGGTAGAGATGGGGTTTCACCATGTTGGCCAGGATGCTCTCGATCTCTTGACCTTGTGATCCGCCTGCCTCGGCCTCCCAAAGTGCTGGGATTACAGGCGTGAGCCACCGTGCCCAGCCTGAACATTTTTTTTTTGAGGAGTACTAGGTATTAGTTAGAATTCACAGAAACATTAAAAAATTTTCCTGTTCTTCTCAGAGTTAATTTTTGATAATGAAATTATTTTTACTATGTTATATGAGGTTAACTTTTTTGAATGAGAAATCATAATTATGGAATTGAAATCCACCTGGAATTTTTTTTTGAGGAATCATTTTTGTGAAATGATTCTGTTTATTTGGAGTTTTGTGGCATTTGGTATTTACTTTTTTAAAAAA